TCTATCTATCTATCTATATATCTGTCTATCTCTGACAGACTGTATTGCCTTCAAAACATTCAAACTTTAAGCTTTTAAAACTACTTTAAACTTCAAACTATTTCAGACTGAAAACCATCAAACTTAAAACTTTTTAAACTTCTTAAACTTTTCAATCTTTTTCAAACTTTCTAGCCCAGGTTTCTCAAGCCAACTTAAAGTTTGTCTTGACGAACTTTTTTATCTAGTTAATATTGTTAATGTTACACGTAAAGCATTCAGGTAAAGTTGTAAATGAAATAGAGGTTTATTAATACAGCATTTTAAAAGTTAATTGGTGGGTGAAAATATGATTCATTTAGACTTTTGAAGCATTTATTTATATATGTGACCCTGGACCACAAAACCAGTCATAAGGGTCATCCAGTTTCTAACACATACATGTTTTTTAGTATTGTTTTAGTTTAACAATACTTCAGCGTTCCTTCCTAAATATGTTTTTGCCAAAATAACCTTTATAGCCTGTATTCATATGCAGAGGGTCCTATGGGAATGTTTGTGTGACAGATTTACCCTTACCAAAAAGTAGTATACTTCAAGTTTATTTTAGTAAGTATACTTAAGTAAAGTTCAAGTATATTTTAAGTATACTTTATGTTGTAAGTATACAAATATCAGTGTACTAGTACTAATAGCACACTTGAATAAACTTCTTTTTCGTAAGGGTAATGTTACATTGCACTGACATTGTCCAAAGTTAAATTTGCTCAAACAATGTCTTCTAGCTGTGCTCCTTTGGGCTAGATTCTCAAATGGGACACATCAACAAGTAGGCTAATGTCCCAGACCTCTCAACAATGGCACCCATTTGTGCAGTTCTGGTGTTGATGTGACCTGTTGATTGATTCTTTGATATTGCAGCTTTAAGCATTGTGGAAGAAAAATGGCTTTCTTCTTACATCATATTTTAAAATGGATGTTGTTGTCAACATTGGAGAGATTGTATCGCATTTGCTACCCATAAATAAATGAGGGCTCTGTTCCAAAACCTACTGAACTTTGTACAGGCACACTCTCAATGCAAAAAGTAGATAAGTGCTATGATAGCTCATTATGACACCTCAGTGCATGTTTCCTTCAAGGAGAAGACAGTCCCGTATGATATGGTATGATGAGCTTTGTATTATGGGATTAATTAACAAACATCCAAGCCGAGGTATGAAGCAAGAGATTTGTTTGAGATACTGGTCATTGTGAAGTTCTGCAGAGATTGTTTGTTGTCTTCTCACATCTTGGTCTCTTGCCTTATAATTTCTTCAATACCTATCGCAGACTTGGTTCAATCTAATAAAAACGTGGTACCAAACAATATTTTACCAAATATTTGTTTGCGCTACGAGTAATAGTTATTCACATTGTGTTGTTTTGAAATTGTTTGAAAATCTTTGTTTTGAAATATTCTTCGTAAATGATCACGCTCATAATCCAAACCCAACACCTGTAGAGTGATTAGTTATTTTTACGCTGTTGGTTATGTGATTCCAGTTTGTGGTTAACCTGAGGACACACTTTTTTCCACCCATAGAAATGTCAGTTGTTGTATGTAATTGGTTAAATACATCAAGCATGTATACAACACAACAACTTAACAAATTAGTCTACAGCATGTTTCTCTTACTAGAAAGTTCTAAAAGTTATCTATAAAAAGCTTTTGCCATGAGTTCTACTGATTTATTATTGACCTTTCTCAGAAGAGGCTTCCGTCCTTCAAGCCATTTCACCAAACAGACTAAATCTGTGATGTTCTGAAGTTATTGTTTATGTCTGTCCATTTGTATTGGTGGTGTCTTTTGTCTTTCATGTCCAAACAGCTCGTAATTATGATCATTTTAACATGACATGAACACATTATGGGCCAGATTTACTAACAGCTTGCGCCAGTGCAAATCCTTTTTTGATGGTAAAAAATTACCGTCAAGATTTACTAAAGACATGCAGTGAAAA